TTCAAACAATCTGATCACACATTTACTTGTAAGTGGGGCTTGGTGAAGTGTCTATTCAAGAGGATTCAGCGTATTTGCACGGCTGATGTTATGGACAGAGAAAACGAAATACTAATGCATACTCTTGTTGAAAACGGATATCCTTTGAATTTTTAAACAGGTGTAGAAGTCAACTAGCCTCTAAACCTACAATCCATACCGTCCCTAAGAAAAAGGTTTTTATCAAATTACCATATAACGGGGAAATAAACAGTAGGATTGTGAGACAAAGGTTGAATTCAATCATCCGTAGAACCTACTATGCAACCCAGCTTGTAATTGTGGAAAAAGCTAAAAATATGCTTCACTGTAAACCCAAAAGTGCACAAGTGATTATATCACATCCCATACAATTTACCAATTTTCGTGTGTGTGTGTGTGTGGACATACATACATAGGGAGGAGTAATCGCGCTTTGCACGTGAGGGTGGGAGAGCATATCCCAAAATGGTTAGAAAAACAGATGAATTGTGACAAGCTAATAGATGCAGGTGGCAGACTACCAAATTCGTCTACAGCTAAACATCTAATCGAGATGAACCATAAGATTGATGTTAACTCAGTCTTTAAGGTCATCTATAAAAACGGTCAAGGGCGTTTACTGAAATACGCTGAGGCTATAGCTATTCATAGACTTAAGCCCCCCCCTGTGTATTCAAAAACAGTTTGTCATTACTCTTGACCTACCTTGGTAATCCTTATTTGATTGGATTACCAAACGTTTGTGTTAATTATTCTTAATTCCGTTTTCTCTCACTTTGTTTAATTTAACCTTTCTATATATATTGACTTGACAAGTAAATGTGTGATCAGATTGTTCGAAATGTATAGCGCTAATACATAACATTTTTCAGATAGTCTCCGTCTTCTAATAACGCTATCAATATTTATAAACTCAATAATTTACTACAGCTTGTTTCCTTCACTCTTAAAAATGGACAATGTTAGAGTGGTTTTAATTCTCAAATTAGTTACCATCATAATTCACCACATTAGAGTTTTCAGATAGTATTAGCTTGTGCAGTTTGACGACGACTCAATGTAGGGATGGAAGAGGAATTTATCAGAAATAACATTCCTTGTATGAACTTTGTTTTGTTTTTTAAATGGCTGAACAAGAATTTCTGTTATGCTGGAACTTCTGTATACAGTAAGCAGCCTTTGACCAGCAGACAAAACTTGTTTTCTATACTTCCATTTTATCATGTTTCATTTTAAACTTGTTGTAACAACCACCTCTTTCTTTACTATAATTGTCCAACCTTTAGAGACTTGCAACTATAGCAGCTAGAGGATTGTAACGGAAAGATTGTTTGGAAAATTATTCCTAAACGATCTAATCACAACATTGATTCTTATTTAGACATTTTAAGAAACTTTGCGATTATAATCTGTTTTTTCTCCTGGACTGTATATCAATAATTTGACATTTGAATATCACACATTGACTTCATCTCAGTACTTGTCATTATTTCTGTTGAATTTGTGATGTTAATACTTCTCTTCGTGGTTATGGAATATACTGATTTGCTGTTTTTCGAGATGATTTTATTTGGCTGAATGAAGGTGACTCTGACCTTGGACTGTCTGCGGAAAATATTGGTGTGTGACTCTTGTGGACAGAATTCTCTATCCCACCTTGTTGGGAATATTCTTCTCGATTCTAAGTACTCAATATCTACTTGGACTGGATTGTATATCTGCCTGAAGGCAATGTTGAGATCATTTTGTGTTTTTGATGTTACAACTGTTGAATAAAACCATAGATTGCAGCAGAGATTAAGCGTCTTTTGATGTCTTTGAAGAGTTTTGTGACTGTGAGTCTCTTCAGGATTTTTATACAGCTATACAGTAGAACGCTGACATCAGTTTCCTGCATTCAGATGATAACGATCCGGTTTCTATATACTGAAGAGAAACAAGACAAGATGATGTTAATATCTGATATTTAACTGTCCAGTATTACCCGAGAATATACCATCATGTAGCTACTTTGTAACGATAGAGTCTATGAACTCCCAAATAACATTACCGCTTTGAAAAGAAGTTATGAAAAAAGACTTCTTTGCTAACTTGTGTGTATTTAATTCACAGAGCTATTTGCCAGCAGAACAAGGTGATAACCTTGTCAAAATGATTGATTTGGAAACTTCAGTTTGTAAACGCTACTCGCATTCTGTTGTTCTGTCTTCATTTCACACTTTTCTACACTTAATCGGTTGCTGTGCTATTGAACATCCTTACAGAAGTCATCACAAAATTATTCACTTATAAATTCGTGTCAGTAACTCAAGTTGCTGTATGTTTTTTAAAGAACAGTCAATCAATATTTATTTCAGCGATGCACGATTACAAGTCTCCTTCCGATAATGATAAGGATTAGTTTATCACGCAAAAATTACTCATTTAGACACGAATAATTCATTGAAAAGACTGTTTGCAGTGATTTCCTTCATTTCACTGTAAAACTGCTATTCCATATACTATTGTTGTATGTATATATTCAGTTAGTTGAAAGAGATCACTCTGGAATATCATTCACATCGTCAAAATACTTCGGAATGCTGGCGATTTATCGAAGTGTAACTAAGGAGGTGAACTTCAACGAGCTTAGACTAGCAGTTGCGTAATACATACTCGACACACTACTTCATTAGTAAGAATATATGGCTATATATGTGAGAACTTTGACACTGTGGTAGTGAGTATTCCACATTAGTTTGTTTATTAGATGTATCACACAGACTGTGAAACTGTATTATTTACTGGATAACGTTTCGAACACAATTTATTATTCATAATCATATAAATTATAATCAGATGACTTTGAAACTTAAGTTTTATAGTTTCCTTTGTCTTCTCCTATTTGTCGTATGGGTAGTAGAATTTTCCAGATGTCAGGATGAGCAGGCGTTGAATCATTCTTATTACACGTGTTAATTTGCAGTTGATTCGATAAACAAAGCTTCCGTCATCAATCTCTCCCTCCACTGTGCTGTTGCATTAGATTTTAAAACTGTCATCCTATCCCATCTTATTGTATGGTTGTGTGTAATTGCATGTAGTGCATATATATATATGAATCTTCTGTGTGTATTAAGCTTTGACAGTGAGTGGAAATATTATGTGCTGTATTAATACTGGTGTTTAAGATTATGAGTTCCAGTTGATTACATATATATGGACGAATAAATACAGGCGTAATCCAACAATTGGCGGAGAGGGTCGGTAGAATAAATAGGAATTCAAGTAAAGCTACAGAAGACAGAGGTGATGAGAATACCCGGCAACCAACAACAAGCAGAAATCAACATTACCTGTTTCATTTCAGCTACAGGCAACATGTATGAGTATTACCAAAGAAACATAGCAGATACAAGGCATACACATGATACTCTTAAATCAATGTAGAAATCTGCTGCAATTAGCTTAAAGATCAAGATTCGCATTTCCAATATGAATATTAAGTCAGCGAGCGCTCTGAATGGATCATAGACTTGGTGAATCAAGAAAAACATTCCTAGCAGGCTGCATACTGTTATCCATAGATGGTCTCTTAGCTTTATACTAAAAATCAGAAGGTTGGCCAGAACGGATAGTCAACAAAAAGCTGCGATAAAGAACTGAAGAAGGACCTATGGATCGGACATACTCTGAGGGGACCGTTGAGTAAAATTAAGCTCCAGTGAGTCCCTCAAGTGAAATCTAAACGGGAAATAACAAGTTTGGGTTGGGTATCAATGGTGAAATGGAGATCGTGTTAACAGGGGATGAAAACTCATCGATAACCATGAAGGTCCTAAGACGATGGAGAATATCAAAACTGGGATAGTGCTTCCACTTACATTTATCACGTTTGGATTTTTACTAATGAAGCAATTCAGAAATTATTCTTTCCAGATTCGCAGAGGATTTCTGGCATGATTTCAACTGAAGTTAAACACAGTCGGTCGTTCACTTTCGTTGTCTTACCTTAACAGACAACGCGAATTCAATATAAAAGGGAGGTAAAATAAATGTGCCATTTTATCGACTGAGGTGTTTTCTAAGAATCACACTTATAACTTAAAAATTACTCAGTTCAAGGTGAAAATTCAATACGGTAGCCTTTGTAAACTCATATTATTTAGACTACAATATGGAATCTTCTTGATAACGGAAATAGGATTCAACAAACAAACAATAAAAATAGTAATGGTATAAATTGTCTTAGTATTACCATGTAGTAGTGCACACCACAATGTATTCAGATATGCTTACAAAAGTGACCACGGATTGATATCAGTTAGTGACTTGCTGCAGGACGGAGTTTCCTCGAGTTCTAGTGAGACGTCGTGACCAGTGAGGTGCATCCAGTTGGGAGTAGAGAAAGATTTCCCACCGATGACATTGGGTTGTGGTCGCGCTAAAATCACAAATTGGTAGGAGTTGGAATTCGTGGGGTGGCCATTGAATAGGGTACCAGTGGCTGAATGGTATACGATCTTGCCTTGTAACCGGAAGATCCTGAGTTTGAACCCTTGTGATGGGTGCGTACTGCCGATGATTCCCAAAATATGACGAAACAACTAGCTGACCAGTACTCGCTGGTTTTCATTTGCTCACTAACTGATATCAATCCGTGGTCAAACTCGTAAAAACAAGCTTAATCCTTACAAATCAACCCTTGACAATTGGGAATTACTGAACTTAAATCCTATTTACTCAATGATTTTGTAACCGCGTGAAATTGAAAATTGACAAGGAGGATATGTGAGTTCATTGAAGCGACTGCCACAAATACAGTGGATTTGACATACTTCAGGTAATACCGATGAAGGGTTATTGGCAATACACACATAATTCCATCAAAGTGACACCGCTATTGGTGATTTATAATCCATGTCACACGTGATTTATTGTCATTTCCTACATAAATACACCCTCATCATAGCAGGAAACAATCGTGCCGAAGATTAAAGATGAAGATTGCACTAGCATTCTGTCTACTACTCCTAATCACCTCACAATGCACTGATGCGAAGAAATCTCGTAAACTACACAAAATCTACAAGTTCCATAAGAAGGTTCGTAATGCAGCTAAGATATGTCTGATTCCTGGTCAACCTCCAGCAAAGAATTTGGCGAAATTGGTGAGTTTGTATTGTCTGGTATTTGGTTTTGAGCTGTTACCGTGTGAGTAGTTGTAAGGCATATGGTGATATTTGAATGTCTGGCAAATTGATGTTTTCAAAATGACAAGCACACTGCACATTGACTTGAGTGTGGGAAGTCCCAGAAAATCTGCATCTACTCCTGCTGCACACAGGTTCCAACTACTGTGAGACGGTGACTGGCCAACGGTCAGTACACAAATGAGTCAATCACTCGATTTATCTCAAGATCTTGCATTAGCTCTGTGATAGCACACAAAATTAAGTCTCCTCACATTCATAAGCGCCAGCCATAAATTCTTCAACTGTGAAATATACTCATCTCTGATATAACCATTCTTTTACCTTCCCATTCAGAAGTGGAACAAAGAGCTGGCCAAGAAAGCACAACAACAAGCCAACAGATGTGATTTCTTCTCCGTCGATCCAAACGACCTAATCATCGGTGACTTTGATTCAGTTGGACAGAATCTCGCACAATTCCCAACCATTTCTGAGTAAGTCCGTTTCCTGTTTGTGTGGAATTTACACTAATGTGATAGAGTGCTGAATTATTGGTTCAGTGAACATGAGAATTACGACTTCGAGAAGGACGAGTGTAAGGCGGAGTGCAAGAACTACAAACAGGTATGTCTCATCTTGTTGTTGAGTACATTTTTTAAATTGTTGCTGAATTGTTGGTTATATGTGTGCTCAGAGATATCCTGCGAATCCAATGAATGTCTGATGGTGTGATTTGCGTGTTTTGTTCCACCGGAGTTTGATTTCTTATTCATAAAGATTAGTAATGGTTTCATGAAATTAGAAACGTGACTTGATGTATGTTTTCCATGACTGTTCTTTAGTATGAGAATCGAATCCATTTTCGTCAATGTGATGCTCTCTAGTTCACTCATCTCACTCTCCTGAGTCTAGTGGATATCAGAAAAATGCACTTACTTACACAACAAGTTTTGCAGGTCTGTTAAAAACCTTTCACACATGTAACTGCGGATGACTTCACTCTCTCTCTCTCTCCGACTGTCTCTCTTACTCGCAGATGGTGTGGAGTACTACCAATGCAATCGGATGTGGTGTGAAGAAGTGTCAGGAGAATTATCTGGTCATTTGCAATTATGCACCATCGTGAGTCACATTTTTTTCATTTCGATTACTGTCGAATCTATAAACTCATCTGAATGCATGAGGATGTGCGCTGTTAATGAGCAGATAGTGCCACCTATAGCGTTTGATGAATAAGTATTCTTGTCCTGCAGGATGTATATCGCTTATGCCTTTTAGTATAATAATAATTGAATAAGCTTTCACTTTGTTCACTATTTTAGAGATTCTGATGGCAGACCATACGAGGTGGGTTCAAAGAGTCAGTGCATGCCAGGGAGAGGGTGATGGTGAATACTAATGATATTTCGTGATGAAAAATTTTAACAGAATATAAACAAGCATCTAGTATTATTGTCTTCTTTATCTAAAATTATTTTCGTGAGAATAATTAAAAGTAATACAGTGAGGTGGGTTCAAAGAGTCAATGCATGCCACGATGAGGATGAAAACGAATGTTAATCATATTGTCGTTAGGGAAATTTAGAAATGTTATAAAGAAACAATCAGTATTTCAATGTTCTTTATAATGTATTAATTTAGAGGACATTGATTGTTTGAAAATGTGATATGGTCTCTTTTGTGATAGTGTTCGTGTAAATAAAGTTTATTACCAGGGAATTTTACGCCTTTCCTTGGGCAATTTTTCACATGTTATTCTTAGATTTGTTAAAAAGTTACGTTCAGGTGCGACGGTTGATATGAATCAGTGAATGGGGTTGTTTAGATGTAGGTCGGCGAATTTCGGCTACCTTTAAGAATATTTGTATATGAGGTTTGAGAGCGTCTGTTATCATGTTAATCGCACAAAATTCAATTTCATAAATATCGTCATTGCAACTGGGTGATTTCCACTAAATGGTGACTATTAGGACGTTTTTGTCACATTGAAGATGAACTAAATTTTCTTCTCTTTATAGTTTGATATATTTTACGTCATAGGCATTTGCATTATTACTAGATTATTTTATTCCTGTACGTTCCCAGTGGAATATTAATCTTTCGGCTAGGGATTTGAAGTTTTAATAGCAGTGGTGTTCATTTTCACCGAATGGTATTGCTAGCCTCATGCCCAGCTTTCCTTTTTTTACCTGTCTTACTACTGGCATAGAGAGATAAAGCAGCGCGTCGGCTGGGTTATTGAACCTCAAAGCAAGTTGTGAGTGGTTAAACAGCATTCTACCGCTGTGCCACCTACGCCATTCGCATAATTTGGTCTGTAGTTGGACACAAATCAGTTTCAATAATCCTCTCTAAAATGTTTTGAATTGAGATGGATTTCATTAGAGTGTATTATATAATTTTATGATAGAATGGAAAACATAAATGGTGTTAGTACGCTGGATAGTTTATATAGGTCGAAGGAGACAACGCATATTGCGTAGTCGCTACGTAATTGAATCCATCAGGGGTGAAAAACACCCTGATCTTATGTGTGTGCAACGATGAAATTAAAATAAATGTAGTAGAATATTTTCCAATAGCTGCATAAATGTAGTGCTTGAAACCGACTTGTGGTTTCAATGCGGGAATCTAATTTCTGCATTCTACTCTTTAGCTGACAAAACCTCCTTAAGACACGCAAGGTCACAAAAACGCTTCAAAGACAGAAAAAAGACGATTTTTCATCGATAGATCCAATTGGTTCGATTCAACAATAATAACATGAAAAACTCAAAACTACTTGAACAATGCCGTTAGGCAGCTATGCGGAAAAGTTAAGTTTCTAGTATAAAATAAGCACTGTATAACAATATTAGTTAACTGAAATTCAAATTTAAGAAATACCTTGATATCAAGTAGATTATTTATAGCAAGGTGCGACTAAACTTCTATCCATAAAAACCACACCAACAATTCCCTCAAACACTCCAAGGTCAGAATCATTATCATTCATAGAGACAAAATCACATCGTCAAACAACGCACTATCAGCATATGACATAACCGCAAAGAGAAGCACTAAGGTCGGAAGTTAAACAGAATCAAAGACAAACAAAAAGAATTAGGTCAACATATGATATGCAGTTCAGGAGAAACATTCAAATAAGCACAAACACTGCGTTCAGATCGTCCAGTTAGGATTTTCCAAGGATTTTTCTCCTTTACGTTAAGAATAGAGCTTAGGCCCTGAGGTAGAGTATCATTCCATCATAGAGTAAATTTATTTGATAAAGTCTCACAGTATTTTACAGTATTATTCACTGAGCACATTTTGAGCACAATTTATAGCTTCTTTTAATAATATCAAGGCACTCAAACAACTTTGTAACAAATTTATCAGACGTATAATAAATAATATAAAGTTTATTGAACATGCATGAAATAAATAATGGGAAGATAATTTACATTTGAAACCAAGATGTGTGTTATTAACAAAATATAACAAGATGGGGAATACTATGTCTTATCAGAGAAATAAAACAAATAAACAAAATGTTAGAATATCATAACGTAATTGAAATAAAATAAAAACAAAATTCAGCATTATTTCTAATTCTTCGAGTTGATAGGTAGAAATATCTTCCATATCTCTGGTGTTGGTGGTGAGTCATTTCTGTTGAATAGGTTGGGTGAAGTTTCGATAAACAACGATTCAATGATCAACTTCTCTCTTTCCATCTACCTATAATAATTTGAGAATTGAAATTTTCTCCCTACCTATTATGTGGTTGCGTGTTTATGCATAACACTGTATAACACTGTCAGACATTATCAAATATATATTCACTCTCTGATGTAATTTCCCAAAACTGTTCTTAGTCATTTATAAATATATTTTTTTAAAAGGAGAGTTACATTTTTGCCGCTGAATAGTTGTGACTTTATCGGTCCGTAGTAAACTAGAACCAGATTGGCAAACTGAATACCACTTTTGCAGGAAATAATAATAACATCTTTATTTTGGAAAGTATTTATAAAATGTACAAAATTTTCACAGGAGTTTATTGCATGCTAGTAAGCTTCAAGTAATTGACAGTATATTCTGAGATAAAATAGTCTTTCAGTTGAAGCACAAACCACTTCATTAGGATATATCTGCTTTGTCTCTTACCTTCAAGAAATTCACGATATCTAGTTGAAAGCAGAGTGTAAGATGTTCAGAAGTACATTCTGAGACTTAAGTGCATAACTGAAGAACAATTATCCCATGTAATGGAACATGTTGCCATCCACACTCAGGCCTTCCCTCTCGTTTTGTAGAAACTTACGAATCAATTAAGCTTTTAAACATTTTAAATAAACACAAGAGTAGATAATACTATTAGAGGTCATATCTTAATCGATTAAAACAAACTGAACGGTAGAAAATATATATGCAAAAGAGAGATGGAAGTTTTTGGTAACCGAAGTTTTAAGCAGGCCACCAAAACAGAATTCATTATAATTCATAAGGTTTTTTATTAGTTTCATACAACTTGAATCACAAAATACGTAGGTGTTCATGTTATAATAATTCTGACATATTTTAACTGAATAAGTGATTCGTTTTATAATAGCAAAATAAGATGTCAGAAAAGAATGTGATATGCAAATAATGCAGGAACTGAGAAAAATTAATAATCATCAGAATAAAGACATTTGTGTATTTCATGAAGAGGAATGTTCTGGAATCTAAACTTAGATTTGCATATAAGCAAAGTTGACCGAATAATCACATGAAAGGTTGTTAAAACAAAATGAAAGAGGTCACTGGTACGACAGACATCTTAAATGATTAAATTATAAAAAAATATTCATTTTAATGCATATGCCTTAAGCTCAACACCTTTGAAAAGAACATTCTCTGCAACAAGGCTAAGAATATTATTCTGAAGTCGTCTATTGGTCTACAGAAGTCTTAAGGACAAGATTTCGCATCTGATCACTTCTGTGTATGTATATCAGTTCTCCTGTTGCTGTGGAGCCAGCTACATTGGTCATCCAACGCGTATCCCACCTGTCTAAAAGGGTTCAAGAACATTATCACACTTGGCTGCAGAGAGATAGTAGTGGCTCTATGAGAAGTGCAATAATCAAACACTTCGTCAACACCGGTCATTCCATCTCAACAAAGCCTCCTTCAGGATAATCTAAAGAGTGAAAAATAACCTGCCAAAGACTACACAAACAACCTCGGTTCAGGAAAAGTAAACCAAAAGTGGTTAGTAAGTCGGTGGTATAGCGGTTAGGACGCTCGCCAACCATGCATATGGTCCGGGGATCGACCCCCGGCCGGCGCACTCCTTTGCCTCACTGAGCCAGAAATAATGCTGGTAAAGAGGAAAGGTTGTGTATGAGGCTAGCAACCCCATCGTGTAAAAACTAAACACTGCTACAGAAACTTCAAGCCACTAACTTGAGGTCGCCCTATGTTCCACTGGGAACGTGAAGGAAAAATTATTTATTATTAAAGCAAAAGTGGAACAAATTACAACTCTAGGCATCATCATCGAACAGAGCATAGAATGAAAGTCAAGTTTCTACCTCATTTGCATCTGCTTTATGAAGGTCTTCCAAGGCATTGACCAGGAATTAATTTCGAAAATACTTCAGGACTCTTGCGTGTCCTGAGTCTATATGAACCTCATTCAACAGCTGGCTGTAGCTCAATGCCACATGTCAAGTGATCCACATCTGAAAACGCAGTGATACATTTGAAGTGAAGATGAGGCTTGAACAAGGCTTCCAAATATCCTGATGCTATTGCCGATTGCAGCAACCAGGACCATGAAACAGACTCTAAGGAAGTAAGTAGATGGATGGTGACTAGTAGTAGAGTTCAGGATGCGCATTTCGACCTATTTTAGACTCTTCAGTGGATGAGCCTGCATTCTTCAGTCAGTAGGTTATGATGTTCCCACCGAGGCTCAAACCCAGTGCCCATAGTTTTAAACGCCAAAGCTTTATTCACTAGACCACTTGGTCCGCGTAAACCCCCTTCTGTGTAACGGGTCATATTAACTATTTAATTCAGTTTCAGATTTTCGCGTCTACTGATTGGACTGAAGTGCTCGGTTCTAGGCTGACATGTCGGCTTCTTGTGCAGATGCTTCGAAGATGTCTGGGCATGTAACTAGAAGTCAGTTGGTAGATGGTGTCTAGTAGGGGAATTCACGATGCGCATTTTGGTCTTATCTGGAACTTTAAGGAGTGTAAGGGGGAGGGGGAAAGTCAAGCCAAGAGAAATCCCTTTAGAATTTCGACTTCGAGAACGATTTATGTCTGGTGTCATGCAAACTCAAAGATTGAGGCAAAAACCTACAAGTTGGCAGAATATGCCAACAGTAAATAAAAGGATTTCAAGGAAACAGAGGAGAAGATGATGAAGACACCTCAGTAACAATAAAAATATAAATCACTGTCGAAAGGGTGAATCTGAGTAAATTCATTTCTTTCATTATCTAAGCAGTATCATTTCAACTACTGCCAGAGTAGATGAAGCTGTTTGACGAAGGATTAGA